ATGTGTCAAGGTTTCGGACAGTTTGGTCTAATACCCTTAAAAAAAAGTGTTGTATTCGAATCGACTGATTTGAAGGATGTTTCACTTCACCTTAATACTACCATTCGAAATAGGGATCACTCCTGCATCTTTTAAGCGCAGCGCCATGGATACAGGATTTATTAGATTCACTCTGTTCGGGTTATCGTTTTCGGAAAGGTTAAACATACTGGAAAGCGTTACGGATAAAATCGGAAGATTTCACAGATTGAATCTGGTAAGTCTACAGATTTCTTCTGTAGAAGTACCATATGCAAGCATCCACATAAACAGTCGAATGCGTATACAAGCAATTGCGCATCGAAAATGTCTTTCTTCTGTTGAATGAAGCGCGCGATGTCTCGATCAGCCTCGCTGCCAATAATCGGTTCCTGTTCAATTTTAGTATTTTCACGTTAATTATTGTGTCCATAATATATAACTGCACATTCAAGTAAGTCAATCTCGTTGGACGAAGTTCTAAAGAAACATTACTTCATGTTTTTCAGGGAATTCTAAAGATCTTGACAAACCTTAACAAGATCCTATATACGTGAAAGATCCAATGTAAAATTCTTTATTAAATTAGAAAAAAAAATAGTTGACTGTTTCATAAATAAAGAAATGTTAAGTGAAATGTTATGCAACCTTTAAACTGTAACATTAGAGTGTTTATATTGGAGTTTCTCAAAATCCCTGATAATCATTTTAATGGTATACTTATATTCTATCACGGAGAAAAATAAAAGCCTAAAAGTTACAGATGCCTATCTGTTGGAAATTTCAGTTTTCGATACAGTTAAAAGCTGTCCCATTAAACAATTAATTCAGCTAACTTCACATTCTCACAAGTACAATTAACAGAAACATTTCTGTAAAAGCCATCCGTAAATGCAGCTGAAAATGGCTGTTAATATTGATAGGGATAAAACTGGGATATTTAAAACATTATAAAATTGTAGGAGCAACAAAAAATTTTTCTTAACGTGAGAGCCGTTATTTTTAAGCATTTGGTTGTTCCGGTATTAATCAATTATAATTCCTTCATTTTTGTAAAACCACTAGGTTGCAATGTTAAATGAAAACTGTAATACATTCATAATTCATGCATTGGATGTTTTACTCAGATACGGTATAAGAAATGTATAATACATATATAGATGTATTTAATATACATACTTTTTACGCCTTCAAGTTAATTAATAAATATTCCACTACAATGTCATTAAATTTTAAACATCTATATATTTACAGATATTACTAATTTAAATTATCGTATCAAATTTACAAGCATTTTAATAATACAGAGAAAAGAAATGAGCACAAAAGGAATGTCGGGTATACTGTAATTCAATAGAAAAATATTTTAAAAGGGATAATAAAGGAGAGATATTTTTAATGTACTTTGAAAGTATAGTGTTAATTTCAAGGGAAATATGCATTTCGCGTTTATGTAAATAATGTTTATCAAAGATATGTAATTTAATCTTAATTTCGAAAAGTTCAATGAGAATGACGTAACAAAGTTAAATTCGGTCACACGATAGGAATGCTTTTTTTTATTTTACCTATTCTCTCAGTCTTGTCGAAGTTCTAATTACTGTATAATATGATTTTATACTTTTTATAAAGTGCTTTTAAAGTGGCGAATGAACTGAAAGCGGTTTCTCTCGAAAAGTTATATCTGCAATTTTTTTAAAATTACCCCAGTTTGAAATATATTTGTAATAAAAAACATCAAAATTAATTCAAGGTCACTACATATGACAAGGTAAGTGTCTCATTGATATTAATTTTTGATGGTTTGTAAAGTTGAAAAAAATTAATTTGTTACGTTTGAACTTTTTCGTTTAAAATGATGTAACTTATTTGGCGGTAAATGTAGTAACAAATTAATAAAAGAGATCAACTTACGTTGAGTACTGAAACAGGCATGCGTCATGTTGCAGGACTTTGTTTGGATAAAATGTACTTTATTCATTGAACATTGCAACAATAATGGTTTTTACGAAAGCCATACAAGTTTAAACAATTTTGTAATGAGCTAAATTCCATAAACCTTAAGGAATTCTGCATTTAACCCGTGGAAAATTAGGAAATCTCTATAATATGTGGTTACAGCACCCAGATAAACCTTCCATTTTCCTGGGCGTATTGTAACCTCTTCATGTAGTTAAGGTGAAGTGAAACACGTAGAGAAACTTGATCAACGTCGATAAAGAAGATTTTTCTAAATGTCTACGTTGCCGACGTTCGTTTTTATATTGACAGCTGGGTCAAATTATATTGGGTATTGTACCAAATGGCATATTCCACCTGTCGTTTCCGTACAATAANAAACGTCTATTTCTAAATGATTCAACATTTAGTATTTTCCGAGTAGAAATGATAATACAGAGACAGCACAAATACATAGCACAGAGGTTCATAGAAAATTCTTTGAAAATATTTCAATATTAATAGGATATGGATTTACGTGCTATGTACATTTTTTGAACATAGGATGAATGTAGTTTTGGTCAGTTTTTTATATTCGAAATACATTTAACGAAATATTGTATGAACATGGAATTGATACTTCTTACACATAAGAAGTAGCATGTCATATATATATCTGAATGATATTTTTTGCCACGCAAATAATAATACAAAAGGTTCATGTTTCAGTATTCTATTTTTAAATTAATATATCAACATATGGTGAGATAAAATATTGAAACATAAGCACCTACTTTTACAAAAAATAAAGCACTTACCCAGGGAATATAAATTTAAAGTATTGGAGCAGGTATGTGTATTCAAAATAAAGTAATAATATATTATTATTATCGCACGAAATATTTAGCATGTTTTGATTTTTTTAAATCAAGGTGTATGTGACAATGTATAAAATAAATGTTAACTTTAGTATTTCAATGTTATATTACAAACCTTTTCTAACATTTGTAGTATTTATAGAATAATATTCCATATTTCAAATGACATTGCTAAACCAATATTGTATATATGTATATTTATAAAACATTAAATATTGAGACTATATCTGGGAAATATTATCATATGTACATAATCTAATATTGTACTTAAAATATCATTCCAATGTCGAATATATATGAGGAATATTTTCTAACATCTTTTCTATATTCTATGAATATTTTATGCTGTCTAGGTAGGGTCCTGATCAGGATTCGATTACGCCATACTCAGGTTCCTATCGGGTCGCGATAAGGCACCAGATTGGGACCCGATTAGAGCCATGTTATCATTTCTACTTGGGTTGTAAGTAAAATTGCACTTTTGTCTTTATAAATCGAAGAATTACTGATAGAAAATTCTGTCAAGCTCTCAACTGGCGATTAATAAAAATCCTACACTTTTGGCTTCTTAAGGTGATATGGAAGGGTCAACCCTAATAAATTGAGAGGTATTCTCTGAACTGGATAAACCGATTCGTTTGAAAAGTTACCGCGTGAATATAGAGACCCCTAAGGTAAGTTCTGAAACTAATGAAATTTCATTCTTTTTAGAAAAACTTGTTTATTTGTCATGGACTAGAACCAACATGGCGTCGTCCGCGGACGTTTTAAAACTGCTCATGACGATCAAAGTCCTAAAATTAATACCCGAATGGACTTTAAGGTATTTTAGTAATCTCTTTAAGTTATTAAGAATTAGCATACACAGTTATCGTTAAAAATAATAGAATTCCCACAAGATAAATGCTTGTCAGAAAGGGAAGGAGGCCGTAGAAGCAAAGAAATTACATTTAACAAATGAAAAATGTACGAAGATACGACTGTTCGCGAAAAAGTTTCTTAATCAGTACCGGAGCATTGTAAATAAACTGAAAGAAAAATGCATTATCAGTGCTCTGAACATCGCAGAGGCGCATAATGAACTGAGACCTTGTGTATGTCATAATTCAGTCTGAAGCTGTTAAACACAAAGCATTTATCACGATAAAGTGGATCGTGGAATATATGTCGCGTGTGCGTCGGACAGAGAATTTACTTCGCCTAAACTAATTGAAATAATAAACTCCATATGAATATAAACTTAATATTTTTAGACTGACCGTGAACAAATTATTCATCACGAGGTATGACACGTGACAATAGTTACTTACATTAAGATACGAATAAATCTATTGGAAATGGGAGTTTGAGTGAAACACTTTTTCTATAACTTCCTTTTTATAACGATTCTTTATTTTTACCACGCTCGCAGGACACGTCCTCACTCTGTCGCTTGCTCTGGCGAACTGAACTACACAAAAGGGCATTTGAGGATCTGGATCAGGACCAATGATGACTAATTTCTTTCTCTCCGTGGAGATGCGACACTACGTCGCCTCTTGCCCAAACAAAGGTCCTTGTCGCCTCGAAAGCTCCACAGAAACAGAGACCAGACTCTCTCTCTCTCCATACGAATTGATCATACATTGACTTTTGTTTCATTTATAAACCTCAAACCTCAAATTTATAATTCTAACAAAATCAAAGTCGTGAGGGCATTCACGGTTCATTTCTTCAATGGTTAATTAACAACTGATTAATTTTAACTCGTAAGTTTCGTGCGTTTCGCTTTTGGTGCCTGTTATGGGATAAGCTTACATAACCTTGCTTTCGGGACTCGTAACACCTCGAGAACGTGTCAAAAAAGTGTGCGTCACGTGACACGTAACATGTTGCGATACAGCCTAATGGTAACACGTGATGAACAAATCACGTAGAATGTATTTATATATTCATTAGACATACGGCAACACGTGTTACTTCTTATTTAAAATTTATAACGTGTTCTATATCTAACAGTGATAGATTAACCAGTATTTATAGTAAAAGATGTTACTGCTTATTTGTTATCGTAACTTATTTTCCATTTAAATGCACAGATATGTAGAGTTTTCAGCATATCACTTTTCATTGTGTATATAAAATGTAGCCGAAGCTTAAGAGGATGCTGAAATTTATGGAAATAATCGAATCTACCCGAGCGTCATTCGGGTAACGAAATAAAAATAGGTAACAGCATTATTGGTTGTCACGGGGTTCCGTGAAAAAAAAAAATTTGGAAATGTGCTTGCGTGCGCTTTGCAGATAATGCGAAATACTTCGATCAGTTGCTTACTTTTGCCACTTTTGTGGCATGGTGAAATATATCAGCATGGATATTGCTATCCATACGGGCCTCATTACCGAAACTTCCCTAACTTGTTGCCGAAAAATTGACATCCCGTTATTTACGTTTTCATTATTATAAAATAAAAAATCACTCCAAACGAAAGCTTTTCTTTCCGACTTCTAGTAAAAATACCGGAATTTTTCCGCAAATTAAAGCAATTAATATATATTTCGTATCGATATAACCACAATTTGATTTGCTCATAATCAAAAGATTGCTTCCAATATTAATAGTTTCCAGTAAATCACTTTCATAGTCTATAAAAGATCAACGAGAATTGAATAAAATGCAGTGCCGTAATGCCAAACGTATCGGGATGGGTCCGCCGTGACGTCACGCCCCCCCCCCCACTCCTCGTGGAGAAAGAATCGAGCAATTCGCGATCCTCCGTAGTATACGAACCTCGGTCAGGACCTTCCTTAGGGACTCCATATTAACGCGTCAAAGTTCCAAACGATTCGTTATACCCAGTCGGAGAAAATTTGTATAAACGAGACCCCTCGGACGTCACTTTCATATCACCTTACAAATCTCTAATCCCTACCTAACTTCTTCCGCCATGTTGTTTTCCTTCCAATAACCGTTACGAATTCCTCTCCGTTTAGCGGGAGTAGAAGGCATTTTCCCCAATAATACATCGCCCCGCTTTTCCCGGTCGAGAGGGCCAGTGCGCCAGCAGTTGTTGACAAATAAATGTTGATATCTGTTGCCGTCGGTCCGGGGGAGGAAAGCGAACCGAAATAGAGTCCCGGCAGCGTTGACTCTGCGCGCGAAGTTCTGGAGTTGCGCCGAGGAAGTGACGCGCGGCTCGAGAAGGAGGGGCGGGAGGGGAGGGGGCAGAGTGGAAGTGGGGATCGGCGCAGCGGGCAGGAGAGGGGCGAGGTGGCGCGGTCAAGGGAGGGGGGAGAGAACCGGGGAGCGCGCTTGTATGCAGACAAGGACGTTCTAGGAACGCGCGAGCACTTCGATTGTCGGGAGAGAAGAGGAAAATAGGGGCGCGCGTGCTACGCCGAGGTGGAGAGGGGTGGGTCCGGGGATAGGGGGAAAGAGGGATGCAGAGGTCACTAAGAGAGCTTCGCGATGCGGAGAAGACTTAGGACCGATTTGTCGCTCGAGCTTACGGAAAAGAATACTCGGACGGATTCGACGAGAAATGCGCAGAGGGTCCCTCGTGTCAGGTGATCGTAGACTAAATTTAAAAGTCAAAGATGAGCGTTATAGATACGAACGGAGTATATATGTAGCCCGCAAACCATTTTCATGATATTCTTGCGAGAGTAGCATAAAGGAACGCGAACGAACGGAGGGGCTGTCCTCTCTCCGTCTTTTGCCGTTAAGGTGAAGTGAAACATCCTTCAAATCAGTCGATTCGAATACAACACTTTTTTTTAAGGGTATTGGACCAAACTGTCCGAAACTTTGACACATGACTCGTGATCATCTAAGAATTATCCTGACACATTCAAAATTTGGATTTTTGGAAACAATTTTCTAACTTAGCCCAGACCAGAACCAAAATGGCATCAGCTCTTATATTTCTATCGATATACAATTATCGAAGGCTCGGATTTGAGACACGAAAGGATCAGGACAATTTTACGACAATTTAGAACACTCTGGTAATCGATAAACTCGCATTTGAACGAGATAAAGGCAAAGAAAGTGTTTTATGCGCTTCTATGCTAAAACGATGGGAATACGAGGTCTCGGAGTGAAAATTTAATTGATCTGGAAATCACAGATGGCGCGGGGGTCCCTCTGCAGTCAATTAGGGCCCCAGAAAGCATTTATAATTATTGTACGAAAAAGACAGGTAGAGTATGCCATTTGGGATAATACTCAATATAATTCGACCCAGCTGTTAATATAAAAACGAACGTCGGCAACGTAGGCATTTAGAAAAATCTTTATCGGCGTCGATCAAGTTCCTCGACGTGTTTCACTTCACCTTAAGACTGTTTGCCTCTACATTACAGATGTGCATATTTCGTATCCTTTAATAGTGATGGCGTTTAAATCTTAATACGATGTAGCAATTCACTGAGTCAGCAACTAACGTCACGTAACACGCGTAATGGCTAAATATCATCTGATAGGTGTCGCCTCTAGCTCAGTGCGCAAGATGCTTAGAAAATTCAGGGAGAAGTGGAAGTTTCGAGGTCATGGTCACGGAATTTCATCGACCGATGGCCGGAGGGAAGGGGAACTATGGGAAGCGCTTCTGAATAACAGACAGAGTGGGAGAGGGATGAATAAACATTTGCATCAGGGATGCATCCGCGCCATTATCGATGCCGACAGAAATGTTCTACGAAAAGTGACGCATTTACCTTTAATCTCGTTAAATTGTACTCACCCATTTTTTTTATCATAAACTGGCAACTTTCGCCATGTTGGACTAACGACCGATTTTTCGGGTGGCCTTTCAATGCAATTCTTTCCTTATTTTGAAATTCATCAATTTATCTCTAATAATTCAGGAATAAAATTCAACGTGATGGCGCATTCGGTGCATATTAACTATGGCAGACAACTGTCTGCCATCGTTAATATACACCGAAGAGTAATGTTAATATACACCTAGGGTAATTCCCTAGGGGCCATTGAAACTGCAGCACCTAGAAATAACGGAAATAGATTCATTAAATATGGTGAAAAAGGTTTATTACGACGCAGGGATAAATCATACAAATTTCCGATGTTTTTATCGTGAAATGTAAGAAATATTTAATAGAATGTATGAGCAATTGCACTTAAAAGGGGTCAAATGACCCCTTATGGTAAGAATAGGTATGTGTTAAGGTGAAGTGAAACACGTCGAGGAACTTGATCGACGTCGATAAAGAAGATTTTCCTAAATGCCTACGTTGCCGACGTTCGTTTTTATATTGACAGCTGTGTCGAATTATATTGGATATTGTACCAAATGGCATACTCCACCTGTTGTTTTCGTACAATAAATATCAAGAAATCGAAGTAAAACTCCAGAAATCCTCTGGATTCATGCTTTCTAAGGCTCTAATTGACTGCAGAGGGACCCCCTGCGCCATCTGTGATTTCCAGGTCAATTAAATCTTCACTCCGAGACCTCGTAC